GTTGAATCCCTTTGCATAGTTAGTAAAACATCTTTCTGGTATTCTCTGCCTTCAGCCAAGATTCATCTGACATCAGCAATGATATCCCTTGTTCTACATCCTTTTCTGAATCCGACTTGAATTTCTGGCAATTCAATGTATTGCTGCAGCCATTTTTCAATTATTTTCAGTAAAATTTTCCTTGTGTGTGATATTAATGATATTGTTCAATCATTTCCACATTCTGTTGGAGTATTTAAAGTTGGTTATGGCAAGTGCTTCTTGGGTGATGGAATGTTTTCTGATTTCACAGTGCCGAGCACTCTCTAAGAGGCTGGCCTTGGCTGAAAAGTCCAAAGAGGCGTTGACAGAAGAGATGAAACTGGCCAGTCAGAATGTCAGCAGACTTCAGGTGAGTTCCTGAGTGTTACTTAGCAGCTTTAGTCTATTTTTTCATTGGAAGTGCTTGGACAGCAAAGTCAGCATTTCCTTTCCAAAGTAGCGGTACTCCATCTCTGGACGTACTTCTTTCTAACCACTTTATTTCTGACTCATTGTAAAGTAACATCATATTTATATCAGGCAAAAAGTGGTTGTATTATTTGTTTCTCTGATTTGATTTTAATTTTTAGATCATTTTATAGTCACCATTTCTTAATACTTATTTACTCACAGTCTTTCCTTTCCCTCCTCTTCCCCAGAGCTACCTATCATGGTGCACTGTAGGATTATTCTGCATACATTAATCTCTTCCTTTTATGTCCTGTTTCATAAAACTGACCTAAAGCAAAAGGTTGTTGCTGTTAGTTGGATCCTGACTCATGGTGACCCCATGTAGGCAGAATGGAACAGCTCCATAGGATTTTCAAGGCTGGAACCTTTCAGAAGCAGATCACCAGGCCTGTCTTCTGAGGTGCCTCTGGGTGTGTTTGAACCTCTAACCTTTCAGCTCCTAGTGGAGTACTTACCCATTTAAGCCACCCAGGAAATCTTTCTTTCTTTTTTTTTTTTAAACTTTTTATTGTGATTTGGGTGAAATTTTACAAAGCAGATTCATTTCACATTCAACAGTTTATACACATTTTGTTTTGTGATACTGGTTACATTCCCCACAGTATAACAGCTTTCTTCCCACTTCCTCCCTGTGGTTACCATTTCCCTGTGTCTTTCTAGCCTATCCATTCATGACTCCCTACCTTTCTCCTTGTGCAAATGCTGCCCTTCTGATCTCCCATGGTAGGTTGTTCTAAGAAGTCTATCTTCCTGGTGTAGGTGTTCAGCTCTTAGGCCAGTCTCTCATTTGGCTGAGAGTTAACCACAGGAGTGAATTCAGTTCCCGGCCCAAAGGGTGACTAGGGGACATATTCTTGGGGGTTTCACCAGTCTTTATCGGATCAGTAAGCCTGGTCTTTTTTATGATTTTGAGTTTGGTTCCATATTTTTTCTCCCACTCTATCTGGGATCTCTTGTCTTGATCCCTTTCTGAGTAATTGGCATTGGTAGCTGGGCATCATCTAGTTTTTCTGGTCTCAGAGTCATATAGGCTAAGGTCCTCATGGTCCATTAGTCCTCTGGACTAACTGTTTCCATGCATCTTTTATTTTCTTCACTCTTCTTTATGCCAGACAAGAAGAGACCAATAGTTGTATCTTAGATGACTGCTCTCAAGCTTTTAGGACCCCAGTCACTACTCACTTAAGTAAGATGTAGAACAATATTTTTATATACATGTTGGACCAATTGAGCTTTATGGTCCCCAGGAACTCTCTCTCAAGGTGCTTAGTTGTGGCTAAGAAGTTATCCTGACTTTGCCTCCTATTAAGTTTAAACTGCATATGGACATATTTATAGCACGTACAAATATTCCTACAAACAAATGTAGGAATATCATCTGCCAAACATACGTATGGTCATGTATATATGTATATATATGTGTGTGTGTGTGTGTGTGTATACTTACACATATACACACACATACAGACATTCCCATAATAAGAAATATTCTTTCTTACTCACTGCTTTGTTTTTAAAACATTACCTCTAGAAAGCCCTTGTTAAATATAAACATGATACTGGGTGCTATGAATTGAATTATGTCCCCCCAAAATATGTGTTGTAAATAACCTCTATTCCTGTGGTTATGAGTTGCCTTTTTATGTTAATAAGACAAGGAGATTGCCTTGAGTCCATCTCTTTTGATAGATAAACAAGTGAGCAGAGCAGGGATGGGGAAAGACACATGTCAATCCACATGAAACTGCCCAGGAACAGAAGCTCAGAAGAGACAAGGACCTTCCTCCGGTGCCAATAGAAAGAGAAAGCCTTCCCCTAGAGCTAGCACCCTGACTTTGGACTTCCTAGCCTCCTAAACTATGAGAAAATGAATTTCTGTTTGTTAAAGCCACCCACTTGTGGTATTTCTTTTATAGCAGCACTAGAAAACTAAGATAGAATTTGGTACTGGAAGAGTGGGTACTGTTCTACCAGATACCTAAAATGGGGAAGCAGTTTTGAATTGGGTAATGAGTAGAGGCTAGGAGAGCTGTAAGCTGCCTAATAGTCAAAGCCAGTAAAAGATTGAAGTTATCAAGGATTTCATTTTACTTGGATCCACAGTCAACACCTATGGAAGCAGCAGTTAAGCAACGAAACAACATATTGCATGGGAAAATTTGCTGCAAAATACTTCTTTAAGGTGTTTAAGAACAAAGATATCGGTTTAAAGACTCAGGCACACCTGACCCAAGCCTTGGTATTTTCGGTAGCCTCATATGCTTGTGAAAGCTGGACAATGAATGAGGAAAGACCAAAGAAGAATTGATACATTTGAATTTAATTGTGGTGTTGGCAAAGAACATTGAATGTACCACAGACTGCTAGAAGAAGGAACAAATCTATCTTGGAAGAAGTACAGCAGGAATGCTCCTTAGAAGTGAAAGTGGCCAGACTTTGTCCCTCATACTTTGGTCATATTGTCAGAAGAGGCCAGTCCCTAGAGAAGGATATCATGCTGGGTAAAGTAGAGGGTCTGTGAGAAAGGGTAAGACAGTCAATGAGATGGATTGACATAGTGATTGTGACGATGACCTCAAGCATGTCTACAGTTTGTGAGGATGGTGTAGTACTGGCCATTGTTTTATTCTGTTGTGCATGGAGTTGCTATGAATTGAAACCAAATCAAT